ATTTAGGTGTCACCTGTGTGTGTGTGACAGCCCAGACCAGAATTGTTTTGTTCTCCATACACTACATCCCCCTGGAAAGCATGAAACGGAGGCAAAGGATTGCAATGACCTGCTCACTGGGAATAAAAGCAGCAATGTCCTATTGCTTCATGTTTTATGAGGTCTGTATCAGGTTTTGGGTGAAATGGGCTTGGGACATGCCTGTGGCTGAGTTCAGGAGTGACAGGCACTAGCACACCTGGATGCTGCTATCTCATAAATAGCAGAATGTGTGGGGATGAATCCTGACCCGACAAATCCTGGAGCAGCACAGCCCTGCTGCACTTTGCACACATTGGGTCTAGCGGGATTAATGGCATAGCAGAGTTGAATAATCCATGTCAGAATAAGTCAAATAAGAAAAGCATTAGGAAGAGCTAAATTTAAGTAAACAAAAGTTCATAGAATCACAAATAGCATATCTCAAGCTGGAAGGGATGCATAAGGACCATTGAATCCAATATCAAGCCCTGCTCCTCGCTGGACCACCTAGAACTAAACCACAGGATTAAGAGCATTGTCCACACAGCTCTGGCAGGCTGGTGCTGTGACTGCTTCCCTGGGGAGCCTGTTCCAGGGACTGACCACTCTCTGGGCAAGGAACCTTTTCTTAATGTCTCATCTGAACTTCCAGTGATGCACCTTCATTCCATCTCCTTGTCTCCCATCCCCTGTGAGGAAGGTGCAGACTTTGATGGGGTCACCCCTCAGCTTCTCTTCTCTGAGCTCAATGGGCCAAGGGGCCTCAGCTGCTCCTCCTAAGTCCTGCCCTCAAACCCTTTTCCTATCCTGGACCCCTCCTCTGGACGCACTCGAGCCCTCTGATGTCCTTCATGAGCTGAGGTGCCCAAACTGGCTCCAGGACTTGCGATGAGGCTGCCCCAGAGCAGAGCAGAGGGGGACAGACCCCCCTCATCCAGCTAGTGATACTGGGCCTGGTGCCCCCCAGGACAGGGCTGGCCCTTGGGGCTGCCAGGGCCAGGCTGGCTCCTGTTCCACTTTTTCTAAACCCAAACCCGCTGATTCCCTTCCTCAGGGCAGCTCCTCAGCCTCTCACAACCCAATTTATACATGTACGTTCAGATGCTTTACAACAGAGGTCATGGAAATGGAAGTTGAGGCACAGGAGAGGGAAGTGGTTACATTAGCCAGAGAACCTACGGGGAATCCAAGGCTGTCTCCTCTTTTTTTGCCAAATGTAGCCATTTCTTAGAAATTCATCATTCTGAATTCATGGGTTTTTTAGAGCAATCATAGCCAGGAACAGGGAACGGATGGGGAAGGGCAATGCTGGGTTGCCTTTAAAGAGACTGAGTTTCACTTTGTTCCCGATTCAAATCTATTTGAATTCCCACTGCAGTATAAAAGGACTGATACAGGAAGATCTCTTGCTACACTGCACTACTGGTGGTTTATTTGAAAATGGGGAAGAAGGTAGTCGCAGCAAAGGAAATACGTGTTACCTCCTTCCTGATTTGCAGGATCTATTGCTTTATCAGAGTCTTTAACTTAATATTCTTAATGTATTAAAAATTTTGGGTACAGAACTCAAGGTGACAAAGAACTGGCAGATACACTAAAACTGCAATCTCCAAAGCAAGCAGGAACACTGTGCCCCAGGTTCGGAACAGCTGGAGCTGGACATTGGGGTGAGGGGGCAGCTGCCTCTCTCTAGACCACCCAACATGCATCAAAGGCTGTTCTCAGCAGCTTATTGTACATTTTTGGCCTTTGTACTTCCAGCCTTGGTCCCTTCCACTCACACTTCCTGCAGGTTAGAGGGACAGACACTGTATAAGTGTCTGAAGGCACACACCTTGTGTGGCTATTTGGTATTCCATACCAAAGAGTGGGCAGGATAAGCTGCGCTCTGGGTTTTGACAAGAGCCCTTTGGAAACACTACTGTGCATTGTGCCTATTCTGCATTTCCACTGCAGAACTAATTCAAGTGATTCTTTTGCTTCCCAGGTATCTTGGGGATGTCGGCTTAATGTTCTCTGGTTACTCTTCCGACATGTGGTAGGAGAGCTGGGGAGGGGAGGCATCCCCCACACCGATGCCAATTAGGGCCTGGGGAACTGATTTGGTCTCAAGAGTCTCTAGGCTGCTGAGGAGGATGTGTTCCCCTTGGTGATGTCTGATTGCTAGCTGAGGGGCATTTGGGTAATCACAGAATCTTAGAAGGGTTTGGGTTGGAAGGGACCTCACAGACCATCTTCATTCCACCCCCTTGCCATTGGCAGGAACACCTTCCACTAGCCCGTCTAACCTGGCCTTGGATACTTCCAGGGATGGAGCAGTTACAGCTTCTCTGGGCAACCTGTGCCAGGGCCTCACTACCCTCACTGGGAAGAATTTCTTCCCAATATCCCATCTAACCCTGCCCTCTGGCAGTGGGAAGCCATTCCCCCCTTGTCCAGTCACTCCAGACCCTTGTCCAGAGTCCCTCTCCAGCTCTCTTGGAACTCTTTTAGGCACTGGAAGGGGCTCTAAGGTCCCCCAGAGCCTTCTCTAGGCTGAAGACCCCCAGCCCTCTCCCAACCTTCGTCTCCATAGGTGAAGGGCTTCAGTCCAAGCAGCAGTTTGTTGTTTCTCTCAGCCCCCCCGTCTCGTCTAACCCTGGGGCCGTGGCTCGGGGGTGCCCGGTCGGTCTGGGGGCTCCCGGCGTTGCCATGACGACTCTCCCCCTTTCCCCGCATACCCCCGAAAAGCTGCGGCGGGGCCGAGCACGGCCCTGCGGATGCGGCCCCGCGCGTTTCCACGGCGACGGCGCGGGCTGAGCCGCCCCCTCCCCGCGCTCCCCGCGCACACTCGGACCGGCCCCGCGCCCCTCCCGCTCCGCGCCCCCCGCACCCCGGGCCGGGCCGGGCCGGGCCGGGCCGAGCAGTGCCGTGCCGCCGGGGCTCGGAGCAGCGTCTGGCCGGGGCCAGGTAAGAAGCGCGGCCGGGCACCGCCGGCCCGGGCTCGCCGCATCCCCGCCCGGCATCGCCGCATCCCGGTTCCCGCACGGGTGAGGCCCTGGCCGGGCGAGCGGGGCCGGGGGGGAGGGACGCTCCGGCATCCCCTGTGCCCGCGGCGGCGCGGCCGGAGCCGGGGTGGAGCGGCGCGGAGGGGCCGGAGCTGGACCGTGTCACCGTGTGCAGCGCAGCGTGTTTGCCCAGGGCCGCCGCCCCCGGGCTATCTCAGCGGAACATCACCGTGCTTATCTCCCCGGGCCAGGCTCGGGTCTCGCCGGGTGCCTGCGCCCTGCTTGGGCTGCAGCTGCGAGGCGCTGCCCAGCCCTGTCCACAGAGACAGGGAACCGCACTCTGCTTCCCTGGCTTTCCCAAGGGATCTTCTCTGGGACACACGGAGGCTGGAAGCCCCTTTCAGGCTGGACGCTTGACCATGTTCCTTCAGGTGTTTCTCAAACACTGTGTGAGCTGATGCTGTCCCGGAGACTGGAGGTGACACTGCTGCAGCCCTGGACAGGGCCCTGCAGTGTGGAGGGCTTTGATTCAGCCTGGCAAGCAGTGCATAGCCCAGGCTATGGAAACAGTGCTCCTCATGGACTAGGACAGGTTGTGGATTTATTTCTTTACTAATTATAAAAGAAGAGAAAAGACCAGACATTTAGAAATATTTCAGGATCAGGTATTCATCCTCTTTTGATGTTTCCGCCTCATTATAACTTGTGGAAGAATATCCCTAACTCTGCAGGGCTGGATGCTGCAGCAGGGCTGGTGCTATCAGGGGGCAGTGGAAGGTAGATGTGGGTGTCCCTGTTGTGCCTCTCAGGAGTGGCTGGGCCAGAGGTCTGCACCCAGCTGGAGCTGCCAAGGCTTCAGACTGCCTTCTGGCCTCAGAGTTGAGCTGGGATGGTGTCACCCTGAGCCCCTTGGAGTGGCACAGGAGATCACTGTAACTGCTTATTCTCCCCACCTGTGGCCCTGCGCGGATCCACTGGCCCAAAAGCTAATTCTGGTGGCTGTGACACTCCTGGGACAGCAGGTGAAAACTCAGCCTGAGTGGCTCTGCTTTGTCAGCTGTGTCTGAAGCTAAAGCTTGCTGCTTTATTGCCCTTCTCCCTCTGATCTCCATTTTCACAGAATCTGTTTGCTATTTTGAAATGTGCAACATGAATAGGCTCTTAATGCGCAAAAGAACATTTAATCTGGTTTTGAGATGTTGATAAATTCCACGGCCCATTCCAAACCTCACCATGCTGCAGCCGAACCCAGGAGCAGGACTTTGTGCCCCTGCTTTGTTCCAGAGAAGGCATTGCCTCCTGGCTTTGAAGTAGAAGTCAGATTGGGAAGGGAAGAGGTGTGTGTAGGATTGTCTTTCTCCACTGGGGCACCTGCCTGTGCCAAGAGTGTTCCTGAGTTTTCCTGTGTGTATAATGTGTAGAAATACTTTCTACAGTGCCGTTAGTCTCCTAAACACCTGCCTTGGGCAATACCAGAAGACAGGGGAAGATCCAAGGGAACAACTCTCAACCTAGCTGGTCTCTGCAGTACTCTGGCTGTACCACTTTCATATTTAGCATGATCCCAACTGGTGGTCTTTCTTAAAAACTCAATTTTACCACTGGAGGTAATTAATAATCATATCTCAGCTGATGGTAAGGATGGGAAAGTTCTCTGCTATGGCTGAGGAGACTTCTGATAAAAAATTCACAGACTCACAGGCTGGGTGAGGTTGGAGGGACCTCTGACGGTCACCTTGCCAAGCCCCTACTCCCTCGGGGCCACCCAGAGCCGGCTGCCCAGGATGGCCCAGTCGGCTTTTGAGTTTCTCCATGGGTGGAGACTCCACCACCTCCCTGAGCACCTGCTCCAGGCCAGGCAGTCCCAGCTCTCTCAGCCTCTCCTCATGGCAGAGATGCTCCAGTCCCTCCATCACCGTCATGGCCCTGTGCTGGACTCTCTCCAGTCTGTCCCAGTTTGTTGTACTGGGCAGCCCAGGCCAGCTCCAGGGGTGGCCTCTGCAGTGCAGAGCAGAGGGAAGGGTCCCTTCCCTCCACCAGCTGCGACACTGCTCCCAGTGCAGCCCAGTACACTGTTCTCCTCCTTTGCTGCAGGAGCACATTGCTGGCTCATGGGCATCCCGTGTCCCCCAGGATTCCCATGGCCTTTCCTGCCAGCTGCCTCCCAGCTGGATGGTTCCCAGCATGTACCAGTGCAGGTTTCAGGAATATTTAAAAATCCAAGAAACCACAAAGCCAATACACGTTAATATTGTTTGAATTAGTATTATTTTAAGCCAATTTTGTGATGAAAAGAAACACCTCTTTTGATCAGATTGTGCTTTATAAAGCACTGACAGGGCCGTGCATCAGCTCTGTGCTGGAAGCTGCTTTTCTTCATGCTCTTCTGTGGCCTGTTGCACGCAGTGTATCCCTTCTCTCCAAACAGTGGATCGTTCCCTGACTTTGCCATGGTTTTGGGAGAGGGTGGGTGTGAGACTGCGGCAGAGCTGGAGGCTCATGTGTACATATGTTATTCAAGTGTATAGCAGCCATAGAAGTGCTCTCTAAGCCCCTGGGTTGCTGGTCCAGAGCGTGGCTGTGCCAACACTCAACATTCCCTGTTTGATGAGCTAAAGCCTTGTGAGCAGCAGAACCAGTGCTTCTAGTTGCCTTAAAAATGTGTGTTTTGCGGCCAGTTTCCTTTGCGCGTGTGAATGTGTGTGCACAGACTGGTGTCATCCAGCCACTCTCAGGTGCTCAAGAAGGTCAGCCTGTGCTCCATGCTTGTGCCCTTCTCTCTCAGGTGAGGGGCCATGCAGGGACCCCATTCTCTGTGCCAGTGTTTCGTTTCCCAGACGTGAAGGTTTGTCTCTGACTGGACCACTGTTCCAGAGACATCTAATCCTACTGTCAGAACTGACTGGAATAGGCTGACAGGGTCTGACTGCAGACAGATGCCATATGCACGGCCATACTCATACATGGAGGACAGGATTGCAGGAACTGCTTCACCAGAGCAAAGCAGGAGAGAGCAGAGCACTTCTGGATGACAGCTGTCTTGGAAAATTCCACCTTCATGTTGTGGTGCTCTGTGGAGGGACCACCGGTCAGTGTGTGTGCATGTGGCCAGGGTTTCCTGGGGTGGCTTTTCTCCCTTCTGGCTTCTCCCTAGTGGGAGCCCCATGTCCTTGGCTGTGCCTCAGCAGAAGGTAGAAGGGGTGGGTGTGTGGAGTCCTTGTGGAATGACTGGCTAGCTGGCTGGGGCGTGGGGCTCACCTGCACCCTCTGTAACACATATGGAGTTACGCCCAATACAAGAAAAAGGGAGAACTTTAGGACTCACATTTAAGACCAAAATAGCTGCAGCTGCACAGTTGCTCTTTTAAAAGCTGGTTAGTGGGATTTTTGAAGGCTGCAAAGTATTGGCTTCATTCTCGTCTTGTCCAGGTGAGCAGAGTTTTATCGGACGTCACTGGGGCATGTGTAAGCCAAAAGCTTTTTAAGATCCCAGCTAAATAAAATAAATAAATAAAGTTTCTGTTCATTGTCTAGAGCAGCCAGCAGAAAGAGTCATAGAATATCCTGAGCACAAGGATCATCGAGTCGAACCTCTGGCCCTGCACAGGACACCCCAACAATCCCATCATATCCCTGGGAGTGTTGTCCAAATACTCCTTGAGCTTTGGAAGCCTTGGGGCCATGACCACTGCCCTGGAGAGCCTGTTCCAGTGCCCAACCACCTAGGGGCAAATTAGTAAAGGGGAAGAACCTTTTCCTAACATCCAAGGGAACGTGTTAGTTTTATTTGCTAATTATTGTGCTAATTTGCAGGATTCCATTCCGGTAGGTTTTCAAGACTGAGCTGGATAAAGCCCTGAACAGCCTGGTCTGATCACATAGCTGACCCTGCTGGGAGCAGAAGCTTGAACTAGAGACCTCCTGAGGTTCCTGAATTACCCTGTGGTAATATAGGTCATTCCAGGGCTTGCAGCAGATCTCTTGAAGTGATCTCTGGGGCGGTGGTACCTGCCTGTGCTCTGTCTCCAAGGGCTGAAGCCACCAGAGTTGTCTCAGCTGGGGGCACCCTCTGCATGACACCTTTTCTGCTCTCAGGAGTAGGGTTATCCAAAGGGACGTGTGCCAGTGCCTTTCTTCTTCTGTGACAGTGATGCTCAGACAGATCACAGCTGTGGCCAGATACTTATTCTTTTCTCCTTTTTTCCATATGCAATACTTCTGACCTGGGATACTTTACAACAGGATAGGCTTCCAGAGATTTTTATACCAGGTTTTAAAAACTGTGAGCTGCAAACAGTATCTCCAATCCTGATTCACATTGCTGCAGGTGGGGATGGAACTCTACAGCCCAGCTGTCATGTCATGCCCACACCTGTCCTACCAGCAGGAGTCCAGTGCTCTGGCCAGAGATGCTGGGGAAAGCATGGACACCACTGCAGAGGGGCAGATAAGAGGAACAGGAGGGACAGTTTGCGGTAGAATGATGGCATCAGTAAGGCTTGAGAAGACCTCTAAGATCACTGAGTCTAACTGTAGGGCAAGGCCATGGACTGGATGGGCTTCTCTGCCACCCTCAGGCTGCTTGGAGGGCTCCTGACCCTCTGAGCTGGGCTGCCCAGTGTGGTGCAGTGCTGGGACTTGCACCTTTGGTGCAGTGAGGCCTTTCCCAGGAGGTTGTTGGAGGAGGGATTGTCTGGAGTTTAAGTCCTAAATCTCAGTTGTTTAGTTCTTCCACTTTAGGAATAGCACTGCAATCTATAATCCAGATTCATTCTGTTCACCCCAAACTCCTAAGGCATGAGAGAACCAGTCCTGACAGCATTGGCACAGCCCCATAAGGTTTCAGAGAGTGTGAAACACGTGACAATTACTGCAGGGCACTTCCTGTGCAAGTATTTGCTATTGTGTCATAGGTTTCTGGATGGAGATGAGTTGGAGCATCATCCAGTCTGAGAACTGGACCTAGTTATTTTTCTTCCTTCCTAGGCATTTCTAGTACCAATTTCTGTTTAAGTTAAAAAAAGAGAGCCAGCAGCTCACACAAAATGATGAGTTATCCTTGAAACATTTAACCCAAGTGATGAATAAAAGATTGATTGGATTTAAGTGCCTAAGAAAACAGATTCCTAGTGGTTATTAGGAAGCATCAGAACAGGTTGACTGCCAAATTCATTTTGGCTTTCAGTTGGAATCTGGTGTCCAGCTGAGTTGCTCAGTTTCTTCAGGTCTCCTGATGCTTAACAGTGCTTTTCTGTTCCAGAAAGGCCTGGAAGGTCTATGCTGTCTGTCAGCTGAGAATCAGGTGTTTGTGGTCACAAACCTGGCAGCACTGGGAGAGGGAAGACAAGTTAGATTTTCCCCTCATGTGAGCATACCATCCACTCTCTACCCTCAGGTTGGTGACACTTTTATCATAATGTCTCAGGTTTTAAAATTCCAGACTTAACCCCATGTCACCAAAGTGATTATCTTCTTTTCCACATATCTTCTTCCCTTTCAAAATGAAATTGCATCAAAAGGAACCAAGAAATGGCCATAGTCCCCTCTGTAGCCCTCTGTAGTCTCATAGCAGCCCTGCCTCCATCCTGGCAGCAAGGGCTTTGAAGAAGGTGTGGGAAACAGGGCAGATCCAAAATTCTTCCCTCACCCAGCATCCTCAGACTTCAAGAGTCTCTAGGACACCGGCATCATCATTTTCAGTGAGAGTGGCATGGAGAGATCTGCCTTCCCTGAGCACATCTGGGAATGCTGCTGGGCTTTTGCCTGGCCACGCATGTCCGTTGCATTGTTCACTAGGGCAGCCCCGAGAGCCCTCCCTCACCGAGGTGCCCTGGACACCAGGAGGCAACACTGTCCATCCCTTGGGCTTACAGGCAGGCCCTGATCTGGGGACATCCTGGTGCAGGCACCTTCCTGCCTGCTGGGACACAGCAGGGGCCAGCTGCTCCCCAGCAACAGGGAACCAAGGAAGGCAGCTGGAGGGGCACTGTGGCCATGTCCCTTGGAGCTCAGGCAAGACCTGAGATCAAGCCAGGATTCCAGCCAGGAGGTCAGTCCCACTGCTGCCAGATCTGCTGGAGACTGCACTGCTGCAACATGGAGCACCTGGGCCCATGGGTGGGAGTCCCAGGGGAGGCTGATCACAGCCAGTAAGACTCAATAGTGCCCTCAGGGCCTTGACACTTGCCTACTCCTTGAAGCTCATGGCTAAAGAGGTTGAATATCACCAGTCCTGTGAGAAACTGCATGCAGCAGACATCAAGTTCCCCCCACTCACCCCTGTCCCCGCCCCCCATCAAATCCTGGCACTTGTGAAATTCTCTCTTGCAGGCAATTAAAAGATCAAGGGTGTGACCATTATGCACATGAAGGAGAAAAGGTCCCACTGTTAACTGTGGAACACTTTGACCTTCCTAGTTAGAGGATGATTTTACAGCATTAGACATTAGAACCTTCAAAATAAGTGTATCTTTCATAGAACAACAGAGCGTTTTGGGATGAAAAGGACCTTAAAACTCATCTCATTCCACTCTTGATCCAGGAGAGCTGGAAGGGGAACTTCATGGACCTCTGCCTGCTCCAGGGTAGCATTTACCAGCCCTCAGTCACAGTCTGCATTGGAGTAGTGTAGGCCCCTGAAGGAGCCAGGAGCATCTTTTGGAACTGCCATCTCATACCATCTTATGGTGGTGCCAGGTAAGAAAAAACCCATGGCATTTGCAGGATCTGAAGTGGGATCTCACAACAGGGGATTCACTGGGTCATGTTGATGCTAGGAAAGGAATTTAGAGACGGGATTTGGAGATTTTAGAAAGGCCAGAATATGCTGAAGGATGAGAGTGGAGCAACTCTCAGGACTAACTGAAACTAACTAATTGGGTGAAGTTCCCCGCCCCTCCGAGCCCCAGCTGGTACCTGGCGCTGGCAGAGCCCTGCCCGCGGGGCGCAGCCAGGATGGGGCTCGGCCCCCGCTCTCGGACACAGCTCTGCCGTCACTTTTTCACTCCTTTGTTGTGTTTGTACTGGTACCCAACTTGATTTCTTTCCTGCAGTGCCTCACTCTGTGCCCAGGCAAGGTGATGGACAGCAGGGCAGAGATGGAGGTGGTGAGGAGCACGAAGGGCAATGCTGCTGGGGAGGTCAGTGTCCATGTGGTCACCACCGAAAGCACTGTGCAGAGCACCCACCTGCCAGCCACTGCCTTCATCATACCAGGTATGTGGAACACTCCTCTCTAACTGGTGTCTCCTTGTGTGTCTGTGCTCCTCCCAAATCTTGGGAGGCAAAGCCATACTGCTGTTGCCATTTTAGAGGTTCTCTCTGGCTATTCCACATTACTTGGATGGTTTGTGGTCAATCAAAACTTGAGTTTTAAACCGAAGCCCTGATATCTGGAGCCCTGTGCCAGGACAGCACAGTGTGCTGGGTCCCTTCTCTGCAGGGCTGTGGGCTCCTGGGCTGCTGCAATATCACCGAATCACAGAATATCTCAAGCTAGAAGGGACCCATAAGGATCAAGTCCAATTCCTTCATCCTGGCTGGACTACCTACAACTAAACTGTAAGACTGTTGTCCCCTGGCGACAGTGCAGACTGACACTCCCTGAGCTCTGGCAGGCTTGCTGCCGTGACTACTTCCCTGGTGAGCCTGTTCCAGGGACTGACCACTCTCTGGGCAAGGAACCTTTTCTTAATGTCTCATCTGAACTTCCAGTGATGCACCTTCATTCCATCTCCTTGTCTCCCATCACTGGTCCCCAGAGAGGAGATCAGCCCCTGCCTGCACTGCCCCCTGTGAGGAAGGTGCAGACTTTGATGGGGTCACCCCTCAGCTTCTCTTCTCTGAGCTCAGTGGGCCAAGGGGCCTCAGCTGCTCCTCCTAAGTCCTGCCCTCAAACCCTTTTCCTATCCTGGACCCCTCCTCTGGACGCACTCGAGCCCTCTGATGTCCTTCATGAGCTGAGGTGCCCAAACTGGCCCCAGGACTTGTGATGAGGCTGCCCCAGAGCAGAGCAGAGCGGGACAGGCCCCCTTCATCCAGCCAGCGATGCTGGGCCTGGTGCCCCCCAGGACAGGGCTGGCCCTTGGGGCTGCCAGGGCACTGCTGGCTCCCACTGTGGCTCGTCCCCCAGTTTCTGCATATAACTAGGATTTCCCCATCCCAGGTGCAGAATCCAGCTGTTACTCTTGTTAGATTTCATACATTTTGTGATTGCCCAGCTCTCTGGTGCAGCCCCTTCTCTCTGTTAGGCCTCTCAACCCTTGAGCAAGTCCACAGCTCCTCCTAACTTAGTGTCATCAATAAACTTACTTAATGTACATTTGATTCCTGCATACACATAATTTATAAAAACATTAAAGAGCACTGGCCCTAAAACAGTGCCCTGGGGAACTCCACTGGTGATGGCCACCAGTCTGTAAGTTTCTGAGCACAACCATCAACCAGTTGTTCACCCAACATATGATGCACTAGTTGAGTTCTGTGCTGGACACTTTGTCCAGAAGGATACCATGAGAGACAGTATCAAAAGCCTTGCTAAAATACTAAAAAAACACATCTTTTGGCTTTCCTTGGTCAGCTTGTGAACCTGTGTTGGCTGTGACTGACAACTGTTGCCTCTCCAGTGTTTTCTAGTAACTCCGAGAATAACCTTCTCCATAATTTTATCAGGCACTGTAGTCAGACTGACAGGCCTGTAATTTCCAGGGTCATCCTTCTTACCCTTCTTGAAAACTAGGGCAGTCTTTTGGCCCAGCTGACAGGTGTCTTTCAGAAGGTGTGTGAGCAAAGCATGGATGTGTGTTAGGTGAGATCAGAGGTGTTCTTCAGAAGCAGATCTCCCAGTTTTTCCTGCTCCTGGGGCCTCAGTTCTTACTGCAGTGAGACCCTGATCTACACAGTGTGTCCCTTTGAAATGTAACTAAACTGGAAGTTTTAAAATGAAGTTACAGTCCAGGAGCTCACCGGGACATTCCTACTACATCAGGGCATTCTGGTCACGGAAAGAGGCCGAGATCGGGCTGAAAACCCCTTGAATGTGGATGATGTTGGTGCCACCCCCCAGCACAAGCCATTCTGACTGCAGATTTTTTGGGTCACTCTGACTGCTTGTGGCCCACAACAAAGCCCTTGGCCGGGAGATCATGACCTCTGTGATTTTGTGCTGTGTTTGAGCCTTATTTGCACCAGTAAAGTGTTCTGTGTATTCCTCTGGTTGTTTGTCTCCTTTCTTCTCTTCTCAAGCAAATGCCACTACCATCAGCCTTCCCACGAGCACCTTAGAAATCCAACGATTCCCCCGGGAACCACAGAGAAGCACAGGGGCCGAGAGGCCAGAGAGGGGAACAGGGAATGAGCCCATCACAGCTACTGTCATTCCCCAGATCAGCGGGGTGCAGACCTGCAGCACAGTCCGTGTGCTGGAGTGGAAAGATGGGTTGGCTACTTTGCCTGGGAGTAACCTGCGGGTAAGTTCAGCCCTGGGCTACTGTGTTTGCCCTCTCTGCCACTCCCTGCAGCTCCTTGACCTTGTAAGTCCCCCAGCCTGTGCCAGGCAGGCACCACGAGGATGTGACATGGCCCCTGACAGTGCCTGCACCCCTGCAGAACGATCCCTCAGCTGTTCTGGCTCTTCATGTGCCCCATCCCTATGCCCCTCCTATCCTGGGAGCTTAGCAGAGCTCCCACATGGTGCCTGGGGGGCTGCAGCAGGTCTGCACAGGGCGGCACAGTGGTGCTAGGTGCTATGCGGGACACCTTTCCTTTTCACCATGGAGTACCATGGAGTTGGCTCTCACCCAGCTCCTGCACTCACCTTGGAAGCAGCACTCAGCAGGCAGAGGGTGCCTTTAGGGATACCCCTCAGTGCATGACATAGCTTGCAGAAAATGAACCCATTTCTCAGCTGCTGCTCAGCCTCAGGTCACCACATCCTCCAGCCACCAACTTGCCAGCTCCAGTCATCCTCCAGCTATTCTGCCAGCTGGTCACCCAAGTGCCCATGGTGGGTCCAGCACAGGCTGCAGGCAGGGGCACCATCACAGGAGACTGAGGTGCTGTGCTCATCTCTGTCCTCAGAAGAGCTGTCCTCTTCTTGGGCACACTGGTGACCAAACCATGTCCCTCATTCTCAGAGCTCAGGTGCACCCACTAGCTATCAAGTTACATTTCTGTTCTACTTATTAACTCTTCTTCCTTGTTTTTTGGTTCAATGACATAGTTTCGAATAAATGAGTATGGGGCACTGAAGGTGGTGAGTGCTGATAAGATACCTCCAGTGGAAGCTGTAAAGGAGGGTCACACAGAAAAAGATGGGGACTCAGAGGTGGCACCCACCAGCAGAGACAATCCTACTGTGGCTAATGGTAAGGGCACCATGGTGGCACTTGAGGGGTGGGTACCACCATCCAGCATATGCTGTCTGCTGTGGTTCCTGAGTGAGGCAAATGTCTCCTGCTTCTGCTCTTCTTCCTTTTCTGCACCTCGTGCCTGACTGCTCCTCCTCTCTCCTCCCAGATGTGCCAGAGCAGAGCAAGCTGCCCACAGCAGAAAGCATGTGCCACTGCAATACCTGTGGCCGGAGACACGTGTGGGATGGGGCCCGGGAAGGCAGGGGCTTCTGCAGCGAGCACTGTCACCAGCAGTTCAAAGAGAGGTAAAGGAAGGAGAGTCTGCACCATGCAGAGCCATATCCATCCATCTGCCCTCCCTCCCTTGGGCCCTGTGCTCCAGCAAGAGATGCGAGCACATCTGCCTCTGGGGAATCCCTCTTGTTCCCTCATTCCTGTAGGCAGAGTGCCCTGGCTGCAGAGTGAGGGGATGAAGACTTGTCACAGGGGAAGCATGCAGGAAGTACAGGAGCCAGATTTTCTCCTGGCCAATTTGTGGCCTCGTAAGCTTATCTGCTGGAGCAGGGCTGCTGCAGGAGCTCGCTGCAGTGGTTGCTTCCAGGCTGAGCAGCAGTGGAAGGTGTGGATTACAGAGGCCTTCCCAGCTGCTCTGCTGACCAGCGTGTGACTCCTGGGACTCGTTTTCCAGCATCTCTGTGATTCTGGTGCAGCTTAGAGCCTTGCTACAAAATTAGATCCCTTTTGATCCATCCCTGTGTTCAGGTTTCTGACACCCAAGTGTGTGAGGATAACTGTGACCTGTCCGCGGTTCTAACTCTTGCTAACTTGTGTGCTGAGGAGCGCGTACATTAGTCAGGAGGGATGGGAGCATGTGCGAGTAAGAAATGGGTGGACAGTGACTCTTCAGCAGCCCCTACCTTACCAACACCCCAGCCAGTGTCACATGCTGTGCCACAGTGCTTTACCCTCCCCTCCTCCATGCAGGTCTGTCATTGTGGAAAACTCTGCCAGCAGCGCCAGTGCCACCGAAATCCTCAAGCCTGTGAAGAAAAGAAAGAGGAAGGACTATCAGAGCCCTTCAGAGGAAGAATATGAATCTGAGCAAATGGTAGGATGAGAGCAGGGAAGGCATGTGTGCAGGTGTGCCATTGTCAAGGGGGGGCCATGGGCCACCCCTGTGTGCACTGTGAGTGAGCACAGTTCTTAGCAATGCTTTTTGGGGCTGTGTCAGCTGTAGGTAAAGGGGTAACCCACTGGCTGTTAAGGCCAAAAAGACTTGAATGTGTGGAGCATCAGGGCTGGCTCTTTGGCTTGTCTACCAAGGGCTGGGCAGTGCTAGACATGTCCAGGCTGGGCTGTAGGTATTGAGCACTCTTAGCTGCTCTTTTGAGTCTGGGCCACCAAAGCAAGTGTTGAAGTAAGAGAATATCTGTTTGTGTGCTGTGTGTCCTGGAGAAGGGAGAGACTTTGACAAGGCAAGGAAGGTCCGCTTGCCAAGGCCTGACTATAACAGGTCCATTCCAGGTGTGATTGTTACCACTGAGCACCAAAATCCCCTGCACCCTCCCATCATCAGATTCTCTTGCAGCCCATTTCTGGACCAAGCATTGGTCAAATCAAGGACGTCATGGAGGCACAGTAAGGCCCTTGGCACTGGTGTGAGGGTACAACACACAGCCTAAATCTCTCTGCAGACCTGGGTTTTTGTTTTCTCTGCTCTCATCTCTAGGAGGAAAAACAGGATGAGAGGAAAAACTCTGTGGGAGACTCTGTCTTGAGCAATCTGGAGGCTGAGGCATGGAATGGGAGCCAGCACGGTACGGAGGGTCAGGCGGGCGGTGGGGTCAGCGCTCTCACCATGGCTGGGGGAGTCCCACTGTGGGGCTAGACCATTTTGGTGCTCCAGTAGAGTAAAACACCCAGTGCAATGCACTGGTACATGTTCGTGAAGGCTTGTAAGCTCTTCTGCTTGCTTGATCCTGCTGTCTCTGTCTCTTTCCATTTTTCTCTCCTTTCCTCTCTTTCTCTCCATGGGAAGGGTGCACCCCTACAGATATGGCTATGTCTGCTTCAGGCACTGGCCTGTGCTGTACAGTACTGTCCCTCCCCTCAGGAGCTAAATTTGTTCCTGGCTTGTGGATACTATGTTTGCTCCCAGAGACACTATGCTGAGCAATAAGAGGACTCTGCACCATGTGTGGCTTTGCCCTCCTTTGGGATGGGCTTATGGTGAACTTCCCTCATGTTGTCAGGAGCTCACAAGTTTGGGAGCTGCTCCTGTAGGTGTGGTGCCACTGAAGCCATGTGATTTGGGGTTGTCTCATCTTCTGGGGATCTATTCCTAGATTGTATCAGAGATCTCAAAAGCAGAGCCGTCAACAGAGAGGAGATAAGCTGAGGGAGGCAGTGTTTGCTTGCTTGTTTTTTTGAGGGAGAAGGAAAACTTGGGGAAATAATGAAAATAAACATTTATGGAAAACCTTTTGTCTTTGAGTAGTGAAAGGTCATACTCAATTTTAAAATGAAAATGTTCTAGCTACATACTCTTCTTGATAGCCATATGCAGGCACAGTGGCAGGGGCCAGGTGTCATTAATCCCTGATGTAACACTGAGTTAACCACTGTTAAAAAGGAATCTCATACAGGTTGTCTTCTGAGCCCAGAGCATGTAACCTTCCCTACTACGTACAAGTAAGTAGTGCTGAGCCTTGTTATTTCAGCATTTTATTTTCTCTTATTTTAGAAGTACATTAGCAAAGAAAATGCATACCTGGATGCTTCAGTGCAACATTGTTCAGTGTCTCCTGGTGTATTTGTCATTCTCTGAAAGTGCAGAGCTTGCACTCACAGATTCTCCAGCCATATCTAGCACTTTTTCTATGTCCTAAAGAATACTAAAGGTGTTTATCACTCTGAAATATCAGTGAAGCACCTAGGTTGTTCACTTTGCTCACTGAAGCTCAGCTTTAATTTCTTCCATAAGTTTTTATTTTTTCCATCTCCACTTCCCCTACATGCAAGGGAGGAATGAGTTTAGTCTGTTTTTTTGCTGTGTATTTCTGGCCTGTCTTACATGAAGCTGCCATGGCTGACCTGTAGCTGTGATTTCCTCAGTGCTGGAATAGGCAGGCACAGCACTCCTGGAGTCCCTTCAGGTGCTACAAAATAGGGAGAGAAAGTAGCTGGAGAGCAAGAAACTTGGGTTATGTCTCATGTGCCTCTGCCGAGGCCTTTCTCAAAGGTGTGAAGGGTCACCTCCATGTCTGTGGAGTTTGTCTTCTTTTTGGGTAAATGCATCTCTAGGGCATCAGGGCGGCCCTGGTGTGTCAGGCTGTTGTTTCAGAGCAGAGGACAGCAGAGCTGGGAAGTGAGCCTGCTGCTGGTTTGACTGACTGGGAACCCTTTGCAGCTGGGAATGATTCCCAGACCCCTGCATGGATCCTGCTGGTTGTCCCAAATCCATCAGTGCTGTGGACGTATCAGATATACTGGCTGGAGGAGGACCTGGTTGTAGAGGTGTCCTGATGCTTTGCCCAGGATGGCTTGTCCCTCAGGCTCCTTAGAATCATAAAATTATGAAATGGTTTGGGCTGGAAGGAACCTTAAAGCTCATCTCATTCCAACCTCCCTGCCAGGGCCGGGGCACCTTCCACTAGAACAGGTGCATTACTAGGACACGCTACAGTGACAGGACATTCAGGGCATGGGGACTCCTGGTTGTGTCCCTCCTCGCACACTGGCCAAGTTGGCTGGGAAAAGCTTTGCAGGGATGCAGGATTGTGTGTGAGAGAGGGATGGCCCCAGCGGGACCTGCCTGCCCTCGGCGCTGCCTGGAGGCAGCAGGGCTGGGGCTGGAGCAGCCTCTCAGCAGCATTTGTGTGCATTTGTGCTGCGCTCAGGTGCCAGTGAGGAGAAGAAAGAAGGCTGGTCTTGGGCGTCCTACTTGGAGGAGCAGAAAGCTGTCGCTGCCCCTTTAGATCTCTTCCGGGATGTGAGTTGGGATTTTCCTGTCTTTTTCCCTCTTTCATCTTCTCTTTTCTTTCCCTTCCCCCCCTCTCCCTTCTCCTCTCTTCTTTGCTTCCCTATTTTGTGGAATTGGGCCCCAATTCTTTCCCTTCCGCCCCCCTCCCCCCAGCTGCGGCTTTTAGCCCAGGGGCACTGCCAATAGCAAGAGATGCAAACCCACAAGGAGGTGGAATGATGTGCTTTTCTATGGAAAAAGAATTAAAATTTGGATGACAACATAACCTGTGGCCCATAGTCTCCTCCTCCCTGCAGCTACCATTGCCTAGTGGTTGCTCCTCTAGACTCAGCTCCCTCCTTTGGTTTTTACATTGTAGTTTAATTTTTGTTTCCAGTACCAAGTAGCTTCCCAGCACAAGAATGGCTTTAAAGTGGGGATGAAGCTGGAGGGGATTGACCCACAGCACCCATCTATGTACTTCATCCTGACCGTGGCTGAGGTAAGGTGCCTCCCATGTTCCTGGGTTCTTTGGACTCTGGGGCAGGGAAGGTGCTGCCAGCTAGCCTGTGGAAGAGATAGGGTCAGTGCCTTTGCCTGCCTGTTGATGCAGGAGATGAGCTGGTACTCCAGCATCTCAAACAAACAAAGAGGGAGTTCTCTGCCAGCTCACAGGGACAGGACACAGCACCGTGGAGCTGCTGTCATGCCCTGGCCTAGTTGCTCTCCATCACCCTGACACATCAGATCATGAGGGAAGGGGTTGTGGTGATCGCAGCAGCTTCTTATCTTTGAGCTGATGCCCCTAGAACATTCCCTTGAGATGGAATGTGTGGAGGCTCTTCCTTGTGTCTGTGTGGGCTCTCCATTCAGCCATGTACCAGTCAAACCAGACTTGCAGTGCTTGCCTTGCAGTGCTTCCCAGGCAGCCAGCATGGCATTTAGCCAAAATCCCTGCATCAGCAGCTTCCCAAGGTGCAGAAAAGGAAATCTTCACACTTTCTGGATCCAGCAACTTGCCCCACCATGACATTTCGTGCACCAGCCTGAACATCCCTTCTTAGGGCTAGCTTGTGGTGGCCTTGCACTGACCTTGTTCTGTGTTGGACACCCTTTGGTGGCTTGTGGCTCCTGCTTTGGGCACTGGCCTGTGATTGACTCTTGGCTTCTCAAAGCAATATAAGCTGAGATGGTGTGTGGGAGGGGTGGGACATGTGACGCTCAGCCAGGTAGAGCAGCAGATTTCCATGGTCCTTTCCCTTTCCTGCCCTTCCTGCTGGTAGGTATGTGGTTACCGGATGCGCCTCCACTTTGATGGCTACTCTGAGTGCCATGATTTCTGGCTGAATGCTGACTCCCCCGACATCCATCCTGCTGGTTGGTTTGAGGAGACAGGGCACAAACTCCAGCCCCCCAAAGGTAAGGAGTTATCTTGTCTTGGGTGCTGGGTCCTGGTGAAGGAGGGGGGTGAACAGTAGGGCCAAATGTAGAGCATCAGGTGGGGATAGGGTGGCTCCATGGGGATAGGGAGGGATGCTGCTGGGATACTTGCCCAGGAGGGATACTTGGGGGAAGAGGGGGTTCCACAGGACAACATGTCTCTTTTCAGCACCTGAAAGAAACAGACCTATGTCTTCTTACTAACATTTTGGGGCAAGACCCTGTTGGATGTGCCATTGCCAGGCTAGAGTCAGCAGGCAGGACTGATTCTCTCTGTGCAGGAGCTGCACTCTGGATTTCCACTGCTCACATTTCATAACACCCCTTCAAAACTATCCACTGGGCCTAAGCCATGGGCTTTGGGCATCCCAGGACTGCTGTGGATCCTGTGTGCCCACAGCAGGACATGCCTGGCGGGATGACGCCAGGGATGGCCAGGGTCACCCTCACCACCTCCTGACTGTGAGCCCACTGCTCTCATTTCTCTTCCTGAGGGGTTGTAGGTTATAAAGAAGAAGAATTCAGCTGGACAAACTACCTGAAGTTAACAAAGGCTCAGGCAGCTCCTAAGCACCTCTTCTTGGTCCGAAACACTGTGAGTAGCAGCATCTCTTTCCTACCAGAGCCTACAGGTTCAGGTGTGAGTTTTCTGCTCCAGCTGAGCAAAAGGCCTCTACCAGCACAACAGGGCTTTGCCCTGTTCACCCCACACTTCTCAAGCCCACAGCGCAGAAGGTCAGCAGTGTGTACTACTGGCTGTGGCACACTTTGCTACTCAGGATCTGTAGCTTGAAGAGTAGGTTGGTGTGCCCAGAATTGGTGCTGGTCTGATTCACTGATTCATCCAGGTTGGTCTAATGGACAGTTAAATCTGTTACAGAAGTATTGGTAAGGAGAAGTAACCGCTACTGTCGACAATTATTTTGCTAAAAAAAAATCAGCTAATGTTTCATAAGTGTAATTTTTTGTCTCTATTATGTGTGTTCATTGTTTATGTGTCCGCCTATTTTTTTCACATGGAAGCCTGGTTAAGGGAAGTGGGAATGTAGCAGAGTGCAAAATACTGATTGTTTCTTTGTCAGCTGCAGGGGAAGCTGAACTTACTGATAAATCAGTCTCTCTAAGTTATTTATTGTGTCTCAACCCTGCTGTTCATTGCTGCAACAATTCCACCAGTGTGTATGATGCAGGATTTTACACAGATTTTGGATCCAAGAAATAAAGGCTTGGAAAGGAGAAGGGCCCCATCCCAGTTGCTCCTGCCATACCTAGGGCGTTGGTCACTGCTGACACTGTGACCTCAAACAAGTGTTTTGTGACAAAGTCAGAACTAGTGTCAGTTGGAGGCTGTTTTTCTCTTGGAGGTTACTGTTTATAGAAGATCCTGAGGGTCTGAAGATCACTTTTCCTCTTTGTTTTTGTGGCCAAGCTGAATTACTTACCCTCTGCCTCTTTCCTTGGATACGCAGCAGGGCACTGCCCTACTGGGAGCCTGAGTGGTCCTGGGCCTGCCTGGAGGCCAGAGAGGGTCTGTTTCTGGGAGGGTTTGGGCAGGTGCCTCCTTGCAGCAGGCAATGGACGTGGGGAGGAAGGAGCTGTGCTGCAGCTTGCCCCTCTCTCCTGCCAGCATGAGGCTTCTCCAGGCTTCAAGGTGGGCATGAAGCTCGAAGCTGTGGACCGCATGAACCCTTCCCTGATCTGTGTTGCCACCGTGACTGACGTGGTGGACAATCGCTTTTTGGTGCACTTTGACAACTGGGATGATACTTACGACTACTGGTAAGTGCACAGAGGCTCCTGGGGTGCCAATGATGGGGACACACTCTGCCACTGGTTCAGCAAGAGTGACGGGGTGCTTGGGAAGGCATGGGACAATCCCAACATCCTGCTGCAGAGAGGCCATGAGCGGTCCAGGGAGGCAGAGGGTCATCCTCCTGTGCTGGGGAACAAACCTTTACCTGTTCCATGTCACCTTCTGGAATGTTGCCATGGCTCTGTAGCTGACATGGAGCAAAGATAGGCATTATCTCATGCTGTGGGCTCAGCCTGAAGCCCACTTGGGAGACAGTCACCTGCACTGCAGAGGCTGAAGGCCTGATCGTAAAAAGCAGCTCCCGTGTCTGTAGGCAGGGGATTGTGGCCGGAGTGGGGAGGTGTCCCAGGTGAAGCTGATTAAGGCCAATTAAAATGGCCAGTTAGCACAGCCAGGGTCCTAAGAACAGCTTTTTACCTTTGTGGTTGGAACCCTCTGACCTTCTCTTCTCACCTCAAGGGGCTGTGGGCTTCAGCAGGTTCTGTCCCAGTCTGGTGCTGGGCAGCTGCCTGCTCTACCCCAGGGCAGAACTGCAAAGCAGTATCTCCTGAGGGTGCTGTGACTGCTGTTACTGACTGGGAGCAATGCTGGGGACATGAGCCCACCCCACTACCCCTGTCTCACTGCTCCAAGCTCTGGAGGGCATGTCCTGCCTCCCTACTTATAGCAAAGGGCTGCTGTTCCCTGGGCAGAGGCATGTGCATGTCCTGCCCCTCAGAGCTGAGTTCCCCTGCTCTAGCCCTTGCCTTGCTGGGCCCTGGAGTTCCCTGGGCCACTCAGGAGAAAATCTCAGTTTCTTCAGGGGATTTTGCTGGTGGTGCAGGTCTGAAGGTGCTGCCAAGTGTCCTTCCCTGGGGGGCCCCCCAGCCCGTGGTGATGAGCTGAGTATTTCAGCCTGTGTAAGAGCTTGGGTGTGTTTTCTAGGTGTGACCCCAGCAGCCCATACATCCACCCAGTTGGATGGTGCCATGAGCATGGCAAACCCCTCACACCTCCTCAAGGTGAGTCAGTGGCCTGGGAGGGCATCCCCTTGGGGACAGGCTTCTCAGGGTGGCATGGGGGTCCTGAGGGCACAAACTCCATGGTCCTTGCTTATCTGCAGGCCCAGACAGTTTCCTTCAGATGGGTCACAGCCAGGGAGGCAGCTTGTACCTGCCAAGGCTCCTGTACACATGTTCAGGTGCAGCGTGGTGGTTGTGTTGGGCCAAGTCTCCACACTAGGAGACAACAAGGAGGACCCAAGCTGTCTGTGCACACCCAGATGTTTTCTGCTTCTTGTATCCTGGCTTTCATGGTCCATGGGAAAATAGTAGCACTTTTTAGTGTCTCCCAGGTTCCTGTGTGCCTGGCACAGACTTGGTTGGCCCTTAAAGGCAGTGGGATGTTCTGAGGTACTTGCTGTCTTCCTGCAGGCATCTCACCTTCTTCATCTTCCCCCTTCCAGATTATCCTGACCCTGACAACTTCACCTGGGAAAAGTACTTGAAGGAAACTGGAGCATCTGCTGTCCCAGCTTGGGCCTTTAAAGTGGTGAGTGCCACGTCATCTGCTCCACTCCAGCTCAGCAGGAATTTGGGTTTTCTCCATTGCTAGGTCTTTTATGATAAGTACAGTGATGTTCTGTATGCTCCTGCCACAGGCCTGTGTTTGGATCTACACTCAAGGTTCAGAAGTCAGGGCAAGTAGTGGGAAAAATGAGAAGTATGACCATCCCTTTGGCTAGACACAAGTTTGGTGATGGGAAATAATTTAGGTTTGCTTGATTAGTTTTTGTCTCCAACTGCACCATCAGCAGCTGCATCCAGTCAAGTGTGGTTGCAATACAGATCCCCAAAATGTGTCTCTTAAAGACCTTCTTCCTGGGGCAGCTTCCCTATCTTGTTAAAACACAGCTCAGATTCAAGAGGCCTGTTCCCACTCTCTCCTGTTGCCACTGTGATCTGGGATGGCTTTTCCCCAGCCAGGCCAGGGCTTGAAACTGGGATTGAGGAGCACACGCTGCTGGGAAAGCTGCCAAGGGGTGCAGGAAGCCTGAAGCATGGCCCTGTTCCCCGCTGATCTGGGTTCTTCCAGCGCCCACCCCATGGCTTCCTAGTCAACATGAAGCTGGAAGCAGTGGACAGGAGGACTCCTTCGTTCATCCGAGTGGCCAGTGTGGAGGATGTGGAAGATCACAGGATAAAGGTAGGTGCTGGAGGATCAGTGCTGAGCCTGTGTCCAGGATGACTTGTTCCTGCCCTTCCCAGCTCACGGGGAGGGGAGGTCTGTCAAAGCCTACTGTGCAGAGGTTGACAGGTCTCAGTGGCTGTCTCGAGGAGTAGAGAAGAGCCTTATGCTGCAGTTCAGCTCTACCCTGCTGCTTGCTGGCAGCCTGGAGAGCTCCTCAGGGATGTGTCCCGTGTTTTGAAGGGTAACCTCTACTTGTTTTTCCAGATCCATTTTGATGGCTGGAGCCACATCTATGATTTCTGGATTGATGCGGATCATCCAGACATCCACCCCATAGGCTGGTGTTCAAAAACGGGACATCCACTGCAGCCTCCTCTCAGTAAGTTCTGTGCCTGTGTCAGTCCCTCATCACAGGGTGTGAACACGCCAGAGCCCCAGTGTTGCTGCCTGAACAGAAATGGGAGGGCAGGTGCTGGATGTGGATGGGCAGAGAGGAAGGACCTTTCCATGGATTTGTCAGTTGGAAAAGTCCTCCCTGTTTAGGGCAGGCAGGGAGCCCAGCTCCCTGTCTCTGCCTGGGCTTGCAGCCATGAAAGTCTCTCTCCTGTTTCTCCTCCTGGTGTAGGGCCAAAGGAATCAGCCTCCTCTGCCCATGCGGGTTGCCCAACCCTGGGCTGCAAGAGCATCCCTCACACCAAGAGCTCAAAGTACAGCTTTCACCACAGGTGAGCTCCCCAGCACAGCTCAGAGAGGTACAGCTTTCCTGCCAGTCCATGCCAGCTCTTCCTCCGCCACCCCTACCAGCATCCACTCCTTCCCTGCACCCACCCAGCCCCCTGCTCTCCCCAAGCTGGGCCCTAAGGCAGCATGGAGCTCCCAGCTGGTGTAACCCCTGTAATCCTCTCCTGTGCCTGTCCTGTGGCACCCAGAGCCCTCTGGGGTGCCCTGTGTGCTCATCTACCTGTGGGGACCTATAGGCTTCAGAGAGGACCTATTCCCTGACACCAGCTGTGAGAACACTGTTCCTGCCATCCCTCATGGATGCCTTTCACTGTGAGGCTGAGCTGGGAAGTCCTGAGAAGGAACAGCGCATTTCCCCAGCTCAGGCAGTCACTTGCGGGACCTTTTCCAGGGGATAACAGACTCAGTCTAGTGCGAACCCCAGTGCTAGGCTGGTGTCAGGAGGAGCCAGTATGGTGAAGTATCCATGAGGGTGGGCAAGGCAGGTCTGTGATGTGAACCCCAATAACCTGCTTGTTCAGCACTGTGGTGACTTGCACAGGGTTGATGTGATGGCAAATGGACAAGTGCTTGTACCTGAAGGGACTGAGTGTGCTTTGCCTGGGCATCCAGTGCCCTCACCCTCGGAATCTGGTCAGCACATCTTTACTCTGCTTTCCCTGACCAGGGCTATGGCAGCCCATGCTTGGGGGCAGACAGGTTGCCCTGCTGGCTGGTCTCCCCATGCTACTCCAAGCTGGGTCCAATGCTTGTCTCCCCTCTGTTCTCTAGGAAGTGCCCCACGCCAGGCTGTGATGGGTCAGGACACGTGACGGGGAGATTCACGGCCCATTACTGCCTCTCAGGGTGCCCGCTGGCAGAGAAGAACCAGGGCAGGCTGAAGGCTGACTTGTCTGACACTGAGGCCTCAACTCGCAAGAGGAACCTGATGGGTTTCCCTCAGCGAAAGAAATCTCGGCACCATGGGAGGTAGGAGCACACCCAGTGAGCCCCATGCAGGGCCCCTGTGCCATCACTACCTGCTGTGGGAGGGATGACCTGGCCAGAGAGGCTCCTTGGCCTCAGGGCAGCACCATCGCTGGCAGCTGGCCTTGGTCCTTTCAGCTCTATTGGGCACTTCTCTTGGCTTTTCTTCCCACATTTCCTGCCTTTAGCTATCAACCCTTTGAGTGAGGGTCCAAGTGGTAATCCCTGCTCCCACTGCTGAGGCATTGCTCTGTGCAGTGTGGAGGAGGGCCCTTGGGCCAAGTCCCAGCCCTGTTGGACATCAGTCTTCCTGTCTCTTTAGAGGGAGACCTCCAAAGTACCGGAAGATCCAGCAGGAAGACTTCCAGAGTAAGTGCCATCTTCTGCCACAGTGTCATTGCAGGGCTGGCAGAGCTGGGGTGGTGGTTGCTGGAGGCAGGTCTCCTTTGGCTCACACAGGTCCGTCCCGGCGGGGGGCTTGTGGTCGACTGCCAGATTTGATCATCAACAAGGAATGTCCCTGCTTCATACCAAAGTTCTGTTAGCTCCCTCAAGCATGGCTTTTGATTTATGTCTGCGAATCTTCGAGAGATTTAGGGCAGGGAATAAGGATCCTCTCTATTTTCTGCGGTGCTTTGTCCTCTTCGAACAGGGATAATGGAATGCTGTGCCCCAAAATTTCAGTGTGGTTGTGAAATGCCAAATTATTGCTGCTGCACAGAAACTGATGATGAACAGTTTCCTTGGTCTTTAGTTCTGATGCCTGAGAGAAGTAGATGCCTGACATTTATCCCTGCCATTCTCCATGGGCCATCTACCCCAGTGCTAGCGGTGAATGAAAGAGCTTTTCTTGGGAGCCATCCTTGACTCCTTGGAGCAGAGAGCAAGTGAAAACCTTTGTTAAAAATGTGAAATGAACTGAATTATATGGGAAGGCATTCTGGTGTGGAATTTGACACATAAACCTAGTTCAGTATAGAAAATGAATGATAAAAGATGGTAAGAACTGGGCAAAACCAAGCTTGTCTCTAAACTTCTATCCTCAATCCCACCAAACAGAACACTTGGATACACTGATAGCCTAGTGAATCAGGGGACAACGCATAGCTCTTGACACCTGGACCTATCAGACTGCTGCCACCCCTTGGCCCTACCCTGAGCAAGGCTCTCCCCAGGGCTTGTAGGATACGATGGGATATTCTCATCCTTCTACCTCATATCACATCTCACATTTTTATCCTCAGCTATTTCTTCAGACAACATGCACCAGTCTCTCTTCATGTCTGCCCTGTCTGCCCACCCCGACCGCTCCCTGTCCCTGTGCTGGGAGCAGCACTGCAAGCTGCTGCCAGGGGTGGCTGGCATCACAGCAGCCGCGGTGGCCAAGTGGACCATTGATGAGGTGAGGTGGTTTGGAACACTTCATGCTGGCCCCTGGTCCTCTGGCATGGCTGGGAGCACCTGCCTGGCTGTGCAGCACCATGACAGATGCACCAGGCATGCAGGGGCTTCAGTGGTCACTCCCCTGGGCTAGTGAGGAGATGGTCCAGTGGACACACTGGTGGGGGGCACAAGCCCTGAGGGCAGCTCCTGGGAAGCACATGCAGAACAACCGGGTTCTCACTTGGTTTTAATATGATGCTTCCCCAGGCCTAGGGCAGGCAGGTGGAGACAAATAGCAGTCTTTTAATTCAGCATATTAACAATTCCCTGATTTTCCCAGTACCCCCTATGTGCCCCTCTCCTTCCCCAGCCCCTCAGTGGGAAACCTCTTGCTGTGCTGGAGGTGCTTGTTGGAGATGAAGCTGCTGAAGCATTTTCTGTTCTGGGGCCAGTGTCTGTGCCTGGATCCAGGGGTGGGCTCTGGGTATGAGATGGTGAAGCAACTGCAGCCTTTGTCCCAACAGTCACCTGGCACCTTACAGAGCACAAAATGCCTCTGTGGCAGTGAGGGTGTGGGCTCAGGGGGTTCTCCAGCCAGAGCCATTGCTCTGTCTTGACATTTTTCTCCATTTACTCCAAGGTGTTTAGCTTTGTTCAGACTCTGACGGGCTGTGAGGACCAAGCCAAGCTCTTCAAGGATGAGGTGAGAAGGGCTGGAGGATGAGACCAGGTGGCCCAGGACAGCTGTTTGCCAACAGGGCCGGGAGGAATTGGCCAGTGGCCTTCCTGGAGTGGATTGCTGCTAGATGCTGAGGGTGCATCCAGCGTGGGGCAGTGATCCTGCCCTGCAGCCCCACCGCACTCGAGTGTGCACCTGTCTGGCTTTGCAGATACGGGGCAGGAGGAGAGCTGTGCTGCCCTCTTCTCCCAGAAGGGAGAGGGAGGGCCCCACTGAGATTAGGATGGGGGAATGGGAGGAGGATGGTGCTGCAACCTTAATAGCACCATCACCTCCTGAGGGAAGCTTCTTCTTCCTCACCCTTTCATCTTCCCCTGTCTGCACCCTCTCACCATTATGGTGGTTGGGTGGCATTGCCGTCTGTCAACGAGAGTTGATGATTTTTGACCCCTCTGTGGCTCTGACACCCAGGGCAGTGGGGTGATGCTGGGCACACTGGGGACATCCACTGTCCCAGCCTGTTTGTAAATGGCCCCTGTGCTTTAATGGTGCTCAGACAGGCAAAGCTGAGCTGGGGGCAGCCTCCAAGTGTGCTGGGACCTGGAGCAGGGAATGGATGGATGGGTTTTTGCCTGATGTCCCTGGGCTGTGCCCTTTGGGCTCCAGTGCAGAATCCCAGCCTGGCTGCAGTGTGAGCTGCTGGGATGGCCCCTGGAAGAGCCTTTCCCCCTCTGCCCTGTTCCTGGGCACACAAGCTCCCAGCTGTGGTTTATCTGGGGCAGTGTGGGAGTGCTGTGGGTGGTCCCTGCCCAGCTCCCTGGGCTCACCTGTTAGTGGGACTGTGCAGATTCCCAGGTCGTGCTGATGCTGGCTGTCCATAGGAAAGCCAGCCTGGATTTTTGGTGAGTGCCTTTGTTCCTGCTCTCCTTCTCAGATGATCGATGGCGAGGCATTCCTTTTGCTGACGCAGGCTGACATAGTCAAGATTATGAGTGTCAAGCTGGGCCCGGCACTCAAGATCTACAATGCCATCCTCATGTTCAAGAATGCTGATGACACCTTAAAGTGACTTTTCTTGGCCCGATCAGGACCCTCCCTCAGCATCGGTGCTGCCAAAGTGTCTGGTCAGGACAGAGATTCCCCCAACCGACCGTAGCTTGTCATGTCTGCTCATGTCCTTTCAGATGCCACATCTCTGCTCTCTCACCATTCCCTCTCCCATCTTCTTCCCTCCACACTGCCCTTCTCTTTCAGTGCTGGGTACAGGCTGACCCCAGGCCCTGGGGGTGGCTGCAGGGATGGAGGGTGGATGTGGGACTGGCCTATCTTAGCAGCATAGATGTCCCCATGTCCTGCTGTGACTGCACTGGTTCAGGGGGTGTTGAGGGAATGAGGGAGCATTGTGGAGGGTGTAACAGCTGGGGACTGAAACCACTACTCCACTCACCTAGATGTGGGAAGGGACTGACTGCCTGCATCTGTGCTCAACCATTGAAGGGCTGTTCTTGCCTTTGCTCAGCAGCTGAGAAAGATTTGGGTTTTTTCCCTTACTGTGATCCTGTGGCGGGGCTTGTGCTGACACCATTTCCAAGGGACGCTCCCAAGGAGCTTCTCCTCATTTTGCCTTTTTTTCTGAATTCTTTTCACTTTTTAAGGCCAGATGATGACTTTGCTTTGCCCCTTCGCTACACTGGAAAGCAGCGACCATCTCTTGCCCCTTCAGAAATCAGGTGTCCTGGCTGCTGCTCTGCCCACGACTAGCGCCTGTGCTCTGTTCCTCTCTCCTGTAATGCAGCAGCCTCAGGACCCTGTGGGGCCAGAGCTGGCTGGGGACAGAACAGACTCTGTTTCTTCTTGAGCTTCAGACTGTTTTGTCCAGCACTTCTCCAGAAGAAAGGATGCTTGGATAACTTGTTCCCCTCACAGCAATTAAAGAATCCTCTGAAAAGGAGAGTTGAACCCTCTTTGGTTCATGTATTAGGAGCAAGGTGCTCTAGAGTGGAGACAACTGCCAGGGACAAGATGCGTCCATTGCTCCATAGGCAGATCCGCAGTCGCCTCTGAAGGTATTCCTGAGTTGGCTGACTCAAGCTGCCAAGCTGCCTTGTCTCATTTTTTACCCTCACAAGGCAGTCAGGTTTTGCTGTCTGAAGAGCTGGATCCTCTGTTGTCCCTGGATCCCTTACCTGCAGAGCTAAGAGAAACCCAGAACTTAACTGATTTGTTTCTGTCCTTTTTGGAACGTAGCACCTTTTCAACAAGGGCACAAGCACTTTGGGAATGCTTAGGTAGTGCTGTCCCTTTTAATTTCCATTAAAAGAGAGACCAAAAGGGCTAGGGCTGCAAAGCCAGGGAAGCCAACATGCCTGTGGGTCCTCGAAGAGTCCCTGTGCCTCCTGGCAGCACCCATGCTACTCTCCATGATCTGTCATCCTGTGTGTGCCCACTGTGGGAGCCATTGGAGCAGTGCAGTGCTGGAGGACGGCCACCTTCCCACAAGCTCTCCATAGTCTGCAGCAATGTGATCCCAGTCCCATGGTCATTTTCTTTCCCCTTCCCAAGAATGACATATCAGTAGCAAAACAATCTCCCCCTTTCCCAGTCCTCAAAGGCAGGGATGAAGAGATGTGAGCAAGTGTACCAGCAAGATGTCCTGGAGCAGCACTGCCTTGCAAGCCACTGTCACACCTGGGTCAACCTGTTCAAGGCTTCCTATGGAAATGTAGCATTTTGACTCTTTGTTATTGAATATTTGGGGTCACATTTGACCTGCTCTTGAAACGTCTGCCACTTGCTTTTCACGCAGGACTTGCAACTGGTCCATGTCTTTGTTTTGTCAAGGCTTGCGTTTGATTTAGGCAGCTTTCCCTCTCTTTTCCTTATTTATATCTTTCCATCTCTTCAAGCACTGCAGTGTGGCAAGCTGTGGAGAGAGGGACTGGTAAGGAACAGCTATGCCCCTGGTTCCCACAGTCGCTCCCCACAACACCCTTGGTCTGCAGTAATGGTCCTGAAGTTGATCTCTTCATCTGATGGAGAGTCTCTTTCTGCACCACTGTGTGCTGGGGAAGAAGAGGAGTAGCCCTGGGACCTTCAGCTGTGAGACTGCTAACGATGCTGAGACCTCTCCAGGTGTGCTCAGGCACGAGAGGCACTGGACATGGCTATTGAGTTTACAAGGAAATATGAAAGCATCCTGTTTTCGTCTTCTCCATTCCCATGTGTGAAGTTATTCCTTCTGTTGGGGAAGGGACTAAGCACCATCCCAGGGTGCTGGGAGACGAGCTGCTACTCAGGCATCAGATCTGAAACTACTGTGAAGGATGGAGAGCCTTGTGTCTCACAGGGCTGCCTGGGCCTAGCAGAGGTGGTTGGAAGCTTAGAAGGTCCTGATGAAGGGGAATAGGAGGCATGAGCCAAGCCCTGGCTGGACCACAAGTCTGAGTACAACCAGCACCACCGGCTCTTGCTCCACTGTCGGGTGCAATCAAGCCGTGCTCTGCCTGGGCACCAGAAAACAGGCAGAGCTGCATCTCCACACTGTGCCAGCCATGGCACTGCCTGACCTGGGCCCTCCTCACCTCCCGTGAGACAGCAGACACAAACTGAACAGGATTGCCAGGGTGCTGCCGCTTGGCTGGGGGGCTCTGGCTGCACAGCTGGAGCCCAGGTCTCCACTAGGTCTGAGCTCTGCACAGGGAGCAGCTGTCAGGAACACCAGCCCCACAAGAAGGATGATGAGAGATGTGAGGGTCTGTGTCACACACCTGCGGAATTGAGCATCACTTCATCAGCCTCTTAGGCTCACTCAGCTGTTGGGGTACAAAGCTGTTGGATTCATCTGGGTGAGGGAGTTACAGGTGGTCAAGGGCTGTTTACTGTTAAAACTTATAACCTTCTTGTGTCCTTTAAAACTAAACCAAAAGGATCGTGTGCGTATATGTGGATGGGTGTTCATGGGAGTACCATGACACCATTCCCCCACTGTTGGTGTGTCACTGTTCAGGGTGGTGGTCTCTGTGGCTGTAAAGGCAGCAGATGCCTGTCACAGGATCTCAGGTGATGTGTCCTTCATGAGCAGTTGTCCCTGGTCCACAGGGAAGCCAGAAGAACGAAGGTTTGCTGTACCCCTGGCCTTGGCAAGTCCTCCATCCCCATAGAGTGGGAGTCCCCTATCAGCAACCATCAAGGACAGCTGTGACCAAGGCAGAAGCACTAAAGTTGTTTGTCCTTCCCCTGTTGCCTGACCAGATTGCTCACAGGGATGTTCACTGATGAGTCACTAAGAAGCCAGAGGGGAAAGTGGGGCTGCATCTGGCCCACAAGTTCCTCTCTGGGACTTTTCTGAGAGATGTGACTGCAGCCAAAATTTCTAAGTCAATGAAGTCAATTTTTGAAGTCAAATGGTTTTTTGACTGGAGGCTCCCAAGCCTATGTTTCTGCCATTCCTGCCCCTGCAACTGGTGTTGGCAGGGCTTAGGTGGAGCCATGGAAGAGATCCTACCACATGCACCAGCCTCGGGCATGGAATGTCTTTTGTGGGGGCTGATCTGTGGCTGATTCTGGGTGCATGAGAGCAGTTGGAGCCTCTTGGAAAAGTGTTTCTCCCTCCTCATGGGAATAGGCAGAATTGGCACACTACGAGCCCAAGTCTCTGTTTCCATGAGAGCAGGCAGCCTGAAGTTCAGCAGGCTGAAGCTTTGTGTCTGTCCTGCCAGAGCACAGCTGCCTACCCCTACCTTCCTCTGCTGATTTCCATGGCGATCACTAGCACTTTTAGAAAAGAGAAAACCCTCCAAATTGTCCAGGAGGGTCGAGGGCTTAGGGCAGCTGCTGTCTGCAGAGGCACATTTGGGGCCATGAGTGCAGTGAGTGCATTGGAGAAGAGGAGGGAGCTGAGAGAGGGATGTGACTTGGCCACTCCCGTTCCTTACTCCTCAGCTTTCAGGAGAGAACTCCTCAGGTGAGCAGAGGGAAAGACAAGAGGGCTGTAGCCAGGCTCCCTTCTTCCAGCCCAGACTTTCCCTCTGGGACCTGAGCCTTCCTTTGTCCTTGGAGGGGAAAATGGGGAGCATATTGTGGAAAGAGTGTGATTATGATAACAAAAGCTTTTTGCACTTTCATTCATTTTGCACTCTTTTTTTAATTTCTTTTTTTCTGCGTTTTTTTTATATCGGTGCCTCCTTTCTGTGTTTTCATAACAAAAATCCTTTTGTTGTACTCAGTGCAGCTATTCCAGAACTGTGTGTCCTGAGCGTACAGAGTTTTAAAGGCCCTATATATATAAATTTATAGGGGTGCAAAAGTAAATTTATATATATAGATGATGGTGTGATGTGTTTCGTCAGTGTTTTAAAATAATAAACGAATGTGAGAAATGGAGGCCTGTGCAGTGGGAGCAGTCACTGCGCCACAAGAGCGGTCGCTGTGCCACAAGAGTGGTCACTGTACCATGGCAGTGGTCACTGTGCAGGAGTGGTCACTGTGCAGGAGTGGTCACTGTGCAGGAGTGGTCACTGCATGGCCGGGGTGGTCATTGTGTGGCAGGAGAGGTCAGCGGAGGGGTCACTGTGCAGAGGGAGGGGTCAGCAGAGAGGGAGGGGTCAGTGCAGCGGTCACGTCGCGCAGTCACTGCGCGACCGGAGGAGTCACTGCGCGACCGGAGGAGTCACTGCGCGACCGGAGGAGTCACTGCGCGTTGCAGCGCAGGCCCCGCCCCCAGCACAAGCTCCGCCCCTCCACAGCGTAGGTCCCGCTCACTCATGAAGCCCCGCCCTTCTGCGTGTTCCGCTGGGTCCCGCCGCTCGCCCCTCCTGCAGCGCCCCCGGGGCGGGCAGGGACAGGCACACACACAGGGACAGGGACGCACACAGGGACAGGCACACACAGGGACAGGCACACACAGGGACAGGGACGCACACAGGGACAGGCACACACAGGGACAGGCACACACAGGGACAGGCACACACACAGGGACAGGCACACACAGGGACAGGGACACACAGGGACAGGCACACACAGGGACAGGGACGCACACAGGGACAGGCACACACAGGGACAGGCACACACAGGGACAGGCACACACAGGGACAGGCACACACAGGGACAGGCACACACACAGGGACAGGCACACACGGGGACAGGGACACACACAGGGACAGGGACACAAGCGCAGAGACGGGGCAAGGAACGGGGGCAGGGACAGAGATAGCGACAGGAACGCTTTATTTATCCCACCGCGAGGCGCAGGAAGGGAATCCCGGTGCCCCCCCACTGGTCGCAATCAGGGGAGCGCTGCCTGCTGGGAGAGAGGGTGGGCTCTCCCGCCCCGGCAGCAGCGGCTTCGCGTGGCTTCAGCTGTGATGAGCCCCAGCAGGACCAGCAGCCCGGCTCCCAGCGCCAGGCGCACTGCGTTGCACAACGTGTAATCTGCAGGGGACGGGAAGGGACGGTCAGTGGGAGCCCCTGGGAGGAGTCCTCCGGGAGATCCCAGACCAAAGGTATCCTCCAAGGGGATTCACAAGGCACTGAGGACTAAGAGACACAAGGACAACGGGACACACTGGGGAGTTCCTCGGCTAAAGAGAGATAAAGGGAAGTTCACAGGGAGCAAAGGGAGCCCCACGGGCTTCTGTCAGCTTCACCTCCCACATCCCTCTTTCCTGGAACACCCTCTACTCATAGCCTCTCCCCTGTCACCCCACCCACTGGCACCAAAGGAACATTGAGGTGACCCTCAGCTGCCCCTGCCAGCCAGATTGTGCCACTGAGATGTGACAAGACAAATGAGTGTCTCCAGGGCTGGTAGGTGCAGGGATAGTGTCCTCTGACTCTTAGCCCCAACTCTCAGCCCAGTGACCTTGTGTCTATAGGGTCTGTAGATCGTCTGTAGGATCTCTGAGGAGTTGGCCAGGCTCAAACAGCTGAAGGAAGCTGAAATCCTCTGCTTGTATCCTTCTTACAGCTGCTTTCCTCTCTTAAATCCTCTTTTCTAGTTCCCCCAGGATGTGACAGGTTGCAAGGAGGAAGAGAAGAGTAGCTGGGGGGATGTCTCACCTCTCACCACCAAATCCAGGGTCTTGCTGACAGCAGACCATTCTATCGAAGCATTCTTGGTGAAACATTGGCAGCTGTAGCGGCCCCCCTCACCTTTCTGCACATGGGAGAAGTTGTAGTCATCTTGTTCCCTTGAGAGTACTTGGGCTTGGATCTGGCCCTCCAGGTACAGGAAACAGCCAGTACTGTGGTATGTGGTGGTGCAACGGAATATCACATCGGTTCCTGCAGTCACCTCACGTCCAGGCAGGACAGAGAAGTCAGGTCCAGGGAGACGGATCCCTGGGGGGACAGGAGAGGGCTTGAGAAGACATACCTAGGTTTGACATGGTGCCAGGAGCCACCAAGAACTCCATGAACCCATCAACAGGTTTAGACAAAGGTGAAGATGGTCCCCACCTCTCCAAGCCAGAGAAGAAGAGAAAACCCCTGCCCATCATATGGATAGGGAGGCCAAGTGCCTGCATGCATCCCAGTCTGCACCTAGGGTATGTGACCCTGCGAGAAGGGGCAACAGCACATCTCTCACCTGTCACCATGACATCCAGGCCATCGCTGCGAGCCAGCACAGTGCCTCCCTCCAGGTAATGGCAGTTGTAGGTACCTTTGTCCTTATAGGTGGCATTAGAGATGGAAAACTTGGCCCTGCAGCCACTCTGCTCCAGGGTACGGAGCTGGTAGCCATCCTTGTACAGTATGAAGTTCCCATTGCCATGCTGGCAGCTGCAGCAGATGGTGGTGAAGCCTCCTGGTGGGATCACCCCAGGTGGCTTCAGGAAGATGGAGATTCTGGGGGCACCTGCACAGGGAGAGAGAGATGCTACCAGAAAGATAGGGAGCCCCCAGCAGCTGCCCTGACATGAGCCTGGGGCTGCCTCTGGGCACCCTCTCCACACAAGGGTGAGTTTTGTTCCATGAGGCTGCAGAACTGCCCTAGGAGATGGTTGGGGACCAGAGATGAGTCCAAACTCCCCAACTACCTCCCCAAGATACTCACTTGGTGTAGCCTTGCTCTGTGCCACCAGCCAAGCACCTGCAAGAGAAGCAGATGTTACAGAAGATGTGTAACATCTCTGTAAGTCTCTGGATGCCTCCTGCCACCCTCTGGGAGCCTGCGCAGTCTCTGGCACTCACAGAAGGCCAACACATGGGTCACAGGCAGCATCGTATTCCTCTTGGCTCTCTCTGTACTCGACCCAGCAGGGCTTCTTCAGAGGAAGGCTTTGGCTGGAGGCACTGAGCAGCTGGGTGGCTTCTTGTGGATCCTGATATGACCTCGTTGCCACAATCCACCTTCTGTCCCACAGCTTGGGTTTCTGCAAACAAAAATGCAGGGCTGGGACAGTTGAACTGGAACCACAATGTCCCAGTCACATGCCCGGGTGTGTGCCCTCGTGATGACTTGGTCTTAGGATCCTGCAGACCCTGGGAGAAAAGCCAGAAAAAACTTTTTTGTTTCTCTTTCTTAGTTCTGATCACCTGATGGGGAAATGTCTTCCCTTCTGTCTTGTGAAATAGGGAGTTATTTTGCAACCACAAAACCACAGGCTTGGTGGCTCAACAGAACGGAATAGGACGAAAGGAACTTGGCTTCCCTTTTGGCCTTCTCAAGGGCTGTTTTGTTCCCCCAGCCTGTGGTGTCTGTCACTGGGGGAGGGACAGCAATACCTCCAACCTGTAGGTCTGGATGCACCTTTCAGGGATGGTCTCAATCCCCATCCACCCAGGCTTCCTCATTCCCACACTGTGGGAGCAATGGAACATCCTTACTCCACATCGCTGCTCCTTTCTACCCCACCTGGAGCCAGACCTCCAACCTCAGCTGCATCTTGACTGGGCTGGCCAGGGATGTAGACAGAGCTCCCTTTGGCTATAATGTAGGGCTGATTAATCAGGGGAAGTTACTTGCATTTTCAGGTGATGTGGGAGCAGGGAATAGATGGATTGTGGCATTGGAGTTGTGTGGGACACGTGGCAGCTTGTCTAGTGGTCCTGCTCTGAAGGCTACAGTGTCTGTAGCTCCCTGTCCTCCTGTGAGCTGCAGGCAGCATGTCCTGCCCCCCTCTCTATGTGCAACCTCTTCCACAGTTGGAAAAGTAGGGAGGACTCCAGGCTGGGCAGGTGGGTTTTATATGGGTGTAACCCAGGGGGAAAACGCAAAGTGGCCACTGGCCTTCTCCAGAACCCCTGTGGTCCCTCCTAGACCCTCTCCACCCTTTGCTTTCTTCCCCCTTCAGCCCTTTTGGTCTCCCTTGGAGATATCATGAGCTAGGCGAAGTTTTGGCAGCAGGGTGCCCTATGGCCTCCTCCTGTTCTGGGTACCTGCTCTGGGCCCATCTCCTGAATAACTCCCTTTTGCCACCTCCAGGCTCAACTGATTCTTGGCATCTCCTTGGAGAGTCTCCTTTCAGGCCCATTCACCTCTGCAGCCTCCACTGGCCATACCAAACTGCTCTGACCTTACCAGAGCCTGGAGAAGAATGACCCCTGGCCCACCCTGCAGGCTCTGCCCTGGCTCTCTCCATCTGGGATGAGTTGGTGGCATCTCTATGGGGCTCATCCATGGGCATATTGGACTCCTTATGTCCCTCTCCAGAGAGGCACATCCCTTGTCTGGATGCACATCCAGGGCATGGGAGCATGGAAAGGGCTTTCCCCTCTGTCATCACAGTTAGAAGTTACCACATCCAGTAGCCTGAGAGAGACAAGGCTTCCACAGCTCCAAGCCTCCAGATCCAACCAGTTGTAGAGCCATCATAGGACACATGGGGATACACACAGATGCAGCCAACCTCACAAATCCATACAGGCGCACACACCCTGACACAAACAGCACCAACAGCCTCATCCTGCTGAGTAGGATGTGCCCCTTATTGTTCCCCTTGAGGCACATTTGAGCTTAAATATAAAAAGCTTTAATGAACTACAGCAGTGAATTGGGAAAGGGAGGGGCTCCAAGACCTGGGTTTTTAGCCCATTACCTGGAGGGGAAAATGCTCCCTCCCTGTCCTCCACCTGGTGCCAGGGAGTCCACAGAGACCACAGGAGAGGAGAGAGCAAGAGAGCGTTTATTGTTTGGGTAGAGACATATATAAGCTTTAGGGGGATTTACAGAATAACCAATTAAAAGTTCAGGGGGTCTTACAAAGTTACCAGTGGTAGGCAAGGGTTAACAACCAACAGAAAGGAATAGATAAAGACCAATGAGAAAACTTCGAGTTATCTCCCAGACATTCCAAAGCAGAGTTAAGGCCGAGAATCCTGGGAAGAAGGTGAGTTTGCAAAAAGATTGCAAAAAAGCCATTTTGAAAACATGTTCACTTAAACAACATTAAAAACTTCTGTTTTTACAACATTTGGGTTGATTTCTTCATTTTTCCCACCAGCCCACTTCTGACAGGACTTCTTCCGTTCTATATATTGAAGGTCCATTGCCACATTGAACAATGTATTATCGGAGTCCTACTATCATGAAGCACTTACCTGCACACCATTGTGGTCAGGAGCAAGGGGACAGAAGGAAGAGCTGAGAAGGTTTCCTTTGAGAGGTGTCCCCTGAAGTTTGTCCTACATTCCCCCTAAAGCAGCATGCCCTACAAGTTACTTCTTCACATGTTCCAAGTGGTTTCCAGGTCTTTATGGTCTTCATACAGCCTGTGGACTGCAGTCCAAGTAGCCTCAATGTGGTCTCCTTGGGGTCCTTGTGTGTCCTGGACAATCAGTGTGATGTCCTATCGTAACAGTCCATAGGGCCTAAATTAGTCTTATGTGATCTATACAGTGCAAGTGATGTCCATACGGTCCCCATGATCCGTTTGATATGGTTTCTTCATCCAGGACAGTGAAGATGATTCTGAAGACTGTCATAGGCAGGAGACCAGAACTGGGTCTCCCTGGGGTCTCTCTCCCTTCAAGCCTTGTCCTGAACACTGATGTCCCCCAAGGAACTTGTGGACACTCACTGGTGTGCTGCCCTGCTGGAGCAGCCAGCACCCTGTAGTGAGGCAATAAGTGACAGAGAGATGAATGGATGGATGGATGGATGGATGGATGGATGGATGGATGAATGGATGGATGGATGGATGGATGGATGAATGGATGGATGGATGGAGAGGGTCTATGAGACCCTGGTCTGAGATAGTTGCCCTCCACAATCACACAACCCCTTCCTATATCTTCCTGGATGCATGTCTGGCTCCCTTATGTGGCCCTCAGGTATGTCTTGGTTCCTCCACACCCTTAACATATGTATTGGCCCTCAGTTCTCACCCGGACACATGTCCTGGTCCTATCTCACCCTAGGAACCCCTGTGGATGGCCACAGATCCAGTTCTGTGCCCAGCTGAGTCCACAGCTTGGATCCTTGCTGGCCCCATAACTCACCAGGCCCTCTGTCCTTGACTGCCCCAGGCTCAGGGACTCTGCAGGAGAGGGACAGCCCATGTCTTTCATTGCCCAGTGCCAGTGCCTCTAGAGATAGCTTTCTCAGTGCCCTCCATGCCCTCAGATCCTCCCATTCCTTCCGTCCCCACACAGTTCTTGTGATTGGGGGATGTTCTCGTCTGCCTGTGCATGGGAACATGCCACATGGGATCTACCACATCCACGAGGCAGGGACATCCCTGTTAGAGGTGACCTTTTTGAAGGAGTCAGGTGGGCTCATGATCATTCCAAGTCTCCTTTTGACCAGGGCCATGGGGAGTTGGAAGAGACCTGCTAACCCTTCCCTCTCATCAATCCCACCACAGAACTTCAATCCATGGCCATGCTCACATATCCCTCCACTCCACAGCAATCCGATTCCCAGACATGTCCTAAAGTGTTCCCCTCCCATAGCTATGTCCCACACGTACCCATTACCTTATGCTCCACATTTCCATGTCTCCATTTTCTCCCCACTCCACTGCCATGCCTTTCATGCCACATGGCCATTATCCTGTGGCACTGTGTCCTACAGGCATATTACCATGTATCCCTGACTCACTGCCATACCCCAGTGGCCTGACCCCCACAGCCCTATCCCCATGCCCCCACCCCATCTCATCCCATTGTCACAGTCCCCATCCGATAACCATATCCAAATTCCCCCCACACCATGGCTGTACATCTATTGCCCAGTGGCCCCCACAGACACATCCCCATGGCTATGGTCTGGTGTATAGCGCATAGTCGTATCCCCATGTATTCCCATACTAGATCCCTGTAGTTGTATCCCCATCTATTCCCATGCCACATCTCCATATCTGTATGCCCATGTATCCTCGTAGATATAGGAGCAGCTGGACGGACAACACCAGCCACCTGGATGATAAAGGAAGAAAATACTAATGCAAAAATATTGTGGTCCTGAGCGAGACAGAGCTAAGAGTAGTGCGTGTGTGAAAAGAATCACAAGATCAAGACAGAAAGCCACTTGAAGTTCTGTGGTGGGTTGTTCTGTGTGGCTGGAAGCAGCACACATAGGTGTGTGTGGATGTGGCTAGATGAAGAAACATCTGCCTGGTGGGAGACCTAGGACCCAGGGCTCAGTAGAGAGTCTGTATATAGGTATGGAGTAATACAGTTGCAAGATAGCTCTGCCTGGAGCTATCGGCTATCGGCTTGAATTTGTTTGCCGCAAACGGTGCAGAGTGAGGAATTTTCCCTGCACGTAGCCATATTCCCACGTCCCTGCCCCATAGCCGTGTTTTCCATCCCCCTCCCCTCCCCCGCCTCCCCCGCCTCCCCCGCCATCTATGTCTCTCTGCTTCTCCCCCGCGCTATTTTGTGGTTAAAAAAGGGCATTTCCCCCGCGCTGGGTGTGCAGAGGGGAATCGAAACTCTTGCGCCGAGAGGCGGGGCCAGGGCCTCGGAGCGAGAGGCGGACCGAGGCAGTGGGTATACGGCAGTGGGTATACGGCAGTGGGTACGCGGCAGCGGCACAGGCAGTGGCACTGGGCAGCGACACCGGGCGCCCCTCATGGCCCTCAGGCAGCCAAAGGCGTGAGTGGGTCTGGGGCTTGTCACTGGGGACTTGTCGGGGCACCCAGGGGGTGGCTGGAGCGTTGCGGGTGTCGCGGGAGGCTGTTGATGAGACCGGGAGCTCAGGGGGCGGTAGGGAGAGCTGAAGGGTGACTGAGGGATGTGGGCACTGTGGAGGTCAGGGCTTGCAGGGAGGGAGTTTCCGGGTTGCTGAATGTCTTGATTTTGCTGGGATAGAGTTAATTTTCTTCCCAGAAGCTGGTCCACCAATGTGTTTGGGATTTAGCAGGAGAACAACGTTGGTAACACACATGCTGCAACTGGTGTTCAGTCGTGCTTACTCCTTACTC